GCCAAGCAGGAAGTCAGCCAGTTAGACTAAAAACTTGCACATGAAGATGTATGTCCAAACACAGATCATTGATCCCTGTTCAGCTGTAGTAACATGGCCTCTTAGCAATTAACCTGGCCAATGAGGCAGGCTGAAAAAGTGCTGTTAAGTTATATAGGCCATCAGTTCTACTACTTCAGACTCTCTGACCAGCACTGCTCTGTTTTGTTCAGAAGACCCTCGCCCATTAAAAACAAAGTCGCTCTCGACAAAGGACAGAGTGGACTGTGGTTTTGGACAAACGTGTTGAAGAGGAGCCGAGGAAAGCCGCGACGGCGATAACCGCGCACCGAGCTGTAAACATGTAAGCAGTGTTGGACTTCCAGCTCAGCTTGCGGTTGTATCAGCCGTCTTAGCCATTACAACAGTTAACAGAGCAAAACATGTTGTTGACTGTGGCACAGCATTAGTTCCACTGCATTAGACACAATGACTATCTCTGTGACAGAATCTCATTCACAAGCACGGACGCGCAAGCGCTGCCATTATATCACCGACGGAAACACGCTGCACCCCCATTTACAGCACAGTGGTGGGTTTCATGTATGTGCGCCGCATGAGGCAATATCATTAGCATTCTGATGTAAACAAGTTCCCTGACACAGCTGTGTCGCGGTCTTTCAAGGCGCAATGTGCCCAGCGTTGTGCTATTTCCCAAGCGCGGTCATGCACACAAAATCTTAAGAGTAAATTAGGTGACGTTCCAGTATCTTTCTTATAATGTGCAAGAAGGCACTTATGGAATCTCTCTGACTCCTACTAAGTGTGAAAACAGCTACAGCTAGTCCATACTTAATATAAAGCAACTTTTACTTTACTTTAGCTTTTTATTTTTACCAGCAAAGTACCACTTGAAAAGGAATGAATGGAACTGCTGCATGCTCTTCAAGCCTTTTCTTTAAATCAAATGTGCTGGAGATGTGGCACACCTAAAACGGTAAGCCCTGAAAACAGTGGCGGAGCTAGACTTTTTTTCAAGGGGTGGCCAAAGGGTGAGCAAGGCTTTATCAGAGGGGTCCATATACAAATGGACCGTTCCATGGAACTTAAGGAAAAAATATTTGTTTCCTTTCATTCAAAATTAATTAATATAACTAGTTAGATTAAAATTCAAAGCTTTCATATGACATAGCCTACTTACATTTCAGTCATTATAAAACTTAATGGTTTTTCACATATTCTTACCACACATTTCAAGCAAGAGCTGGGAGATATAAAACATTACAGGGCAGCATGTGCACTAAAACATATGTTAAAAGAATCTGTCTAAAACACGATCTATCAGCACTAGCATGGCTAATATAATAAACGAGGCACTACGCAGCGGTGCACAACCATTTTTGTTTTTCTTTTTAGAAATGTATGACAAGTGCCGCCTCTCATTAGTAAGGTAACAGCGGTTACCGCTGAGCGGTAAAATGTAAATACCTGCAAAACTCCTGGACAGTGTACTCCAGGGGTGCTCAAGTCCAGTCCTCGAGAGCTACCGTCCTGCAACTTTTAGATGCAGCCTTACTCGAGCAGACCGAGATCAGCTCTGAACAGGTCTGGTAATGAGCCATTCATTTGATTCAGGTGTGTTGGAGCAGGGATGCATCTCATAGTTGCAGGATGGTAGCTCTCGAGGACTGGACTTGAGCACCCCTGGTGTACTCTAAAGCCGCCGGTGTGTTTTGGATCAAGCAGGACCCACATGTCAGTTTAACCAATGAACAGCGTCGGGCTGCCTTCAGGGACAGTCGGAAATTACAGTTTTCCTGGCAAATCTTTGCCGATCTCATAAGTATTATAGGCTATTTTAAAATGACCATTTCCAGTGGGGTGGCAGTAGGGGTGGCAAGGGCTCTGTTGGGGGTGGCAAGTGCCACCCCGGCCACCCCTCTGGCTCCGCCACTGCCTGAAAACCAAGGGACTTTCTTGCTAGCATGGCTTAGTCAAAGTCCACACCTAATTTCAATTGGTATCGGTGCGTTAAATTTTGAAAATTGCTGTTCACAGATGCTCTCCATCCACTCTGAATCAGGTTGAGTTATTTTACAAAAAAAAGGTTATTTTACAGTAGAGACACACTCCAAAGGATTGCAGCTGTATTTGCAGCTAAAGGTGCTTCTGCAAATTATTTACTCAGGAGAGCTCAATTCAAATGCATAACACATCCCACTTTTCAGATGTTATTTGAAAGATACTGTAAAAAAACACACACACAGAGAGAGACATGCTGTGCACTGTAGAGATACTTGTTTTCTGCCATAACCTTGGCAAAACAAAAAAGCAACACATTTTCAAAATGTTCATACTCAGAAATGCTTAGGTTGTTATTTTGGAATATGAAACAACTAGCATCTGTTGTACAATAGCAGGACAAGCTGTCCATTTTAAAGAAGAAACTGCACTCTTAAAACACACTTTACAGAGTTTTTTTTTTTAACATTGTCATGGATGTTTTCCTATTCGAGATGTGCTCTCAGGCCAGGGAGCACACTTGAAGGGGCAGTGCAGCATTTTCTTCAAGTCTGTTGTTTAATGATAGTGATGAATTTGAGCTCCACTGGTATTTAGAGGCTGTGTTAGTGTTAGTGATCACTTTCAAGATTTTCCATGAGAGCCTTTGAGCTGATTTCAGATCCGTTAGAAACCGAGCCATCTAATAATAATAATTGATAACACTATTTATAGGCCCGAAGTGGGGCAATGTCTGCTCCCAGCACCACTTGTGCTACAACATATTTAGCACGCTCCCACTTCAGCATGCCTCCAGCAGTGGTTTAAGGGAAGAAAGGGAATGGATGAATGAATGCACAAACAGCAGGCGCGCTCCAGTTAAAGCACCCCTCCAAATGTTGCTGCAAACACTAGCGCTCTATTAGTTATCTGTCCTGGGCGCCCACTTAGTGAGATCTAACCCTTCCCAGGAGGAGCCTGGGTCTGACTTTACGGTTCATCGGTTCAAACAGGAGTCAAGTGAAACGCATCAGTTTGCTGATCCACCTGCAGAGACCTAACAGCTGACCTATGGTCAAAGTTCAACATGAAATTGTTTGCAAGATCGCGTTTTATATCTGAGGTCAGGCCAAAAGTGGGTCCGTTCCAAACTTTAAGTGGGAGGTGACACTGGTTGATTGGCAGGCGATTGGCAGGTGGGGCGACTGCAGTTGGTTTATGTGACAGGCAGGAAGGGCAAGCTGACGCGGTGCCTTTCTTAAATCGAAAAGCATCTGAATTAAACAGCTCCATGTTTATTGTCATAAAGATGCATAGTAAAAAGAAAGCATTAGAATAAAGTCACAATTTATTGTAGAAGCATGATCCGCCTGAATAATTTTTAGAGAAATTCAACCTTTGAAATAACTGCATTTATGCAAAAATAGAACTTAAAAGAATAACTGTGTTGAACCAAATCCATGATACAATTATTGGCAACCCTATTGTCAATAATGTTGCCAGCAAAATATCTTCTGGAGAGGGATTCTTAAACATTCCTCTTTGCAGAATCTCCATCAATCATCGTGAGAACTGGCTCCTCTCTGTTCTATGGGATTTAGCTCTGGGGAATGTGGCAGCTATTGAAAAGGTTGATTTTGTGTCAGATTAAGTATTTGTTGATTTGGTTACAAGTATCATTGTCACTTTATTCCATTTCTTTTTTTTTTGGTGGCGGGGGGGCACAAACCACTATGCATTTTTATTTCAAATCTCCTGAGGTTTCAAAGACTCCCTGACGTCATGCACTCTGAGAAGGTTTTGGCATTTGAAGGAGACCAACAGTATTCCAGTTCAGCAACACTACTTTACAGGGCAAGAGGTGCTTCTGTATATTATTAACCAAACCCTACAAGAGATTCAAATCTAACTATCTTTGTCTTAATCTTCGCCTCATTCAACCAAAGCCCACACTTCTAGTGAAAGTCCCAATAAGATTCAGCAAACTCCACATGTTTACGTTTGTAATGATGGAGGAAAAGCCTTTGTTCTGCTGTTACTCCCAAACAACCAGTTGGCATCTGGATAGTGTGAAATGGTTGTAATTTAGACTTGGTTTTCCCCCAGTTGACAAACCTGGCTGCTATATCAAGGTTTATGTCCTTCTTTACTGCCATCACTATCCTACTTTGCTGCACATGTTGACTAGATAAATACGGATTCTTGCCCAGTCCGGTGACCAATGGCTTGAATAAACAGGCTGCTGTGCTGAGTCAGATTCATATTCCGGTGGAACAAAAAGAAAAAATTGTAGATTACTAATTGGAACTTCAAATAGACCTTCACTTTAAAGGAAACTTATTGATGAACACTGGATTCTTTTATTTAAAATTCACTCAAATTAAATATTTCTACAGCCATGTCCCTATATCTGATCTTAGTCGTCAAGAAAAGGAGACAAATCCCATAAAATGATGAAGCGCTCTGCATTACAGCAGCGGGTCCCTGCCAAACCACGAAGGAGCTCTTTGTTATCATTCCCAGAGTTTTTGGGTGGGGATGCATGCAAACAGCCCTGCCCCTTCATTCCACCCTGGTACTACTTCCAGACGACCCAGATGGTGAAAGGAGAAAGAGCGGTACACCAAGGAGCAGATAAGCAGCTGGTGATGCTTTGCGTTGGATATTTTCCTGCTTCACTCCTGTCCCCTTTCCTTCCCCAGCCCCCCTTTCGCAACTCAGCAAAGCGTATCTCCCCTCCCCGCCCCCCACTGCTTTTGACATCACCTTTCATTTATTGCACCTCCTATTTCGTGACCTTTTACAGTCCTGTCACCTTCTGAATTTGTAACCTTTGAGTAATCCATGCACCCACCTGACTCCCACTTCCCTGCCACATCTAGGATCCTCCTGCCACTTGACAGCTTATTTGTTTGTCAAGCTCTTACAAGATAAAAAAGAAAAGAAAAAAATAATAAACGCTTCTCTCCCTCCCGATTGATCATCTCCGTTACAGGATCGATAGCAATCTCGGCACTTACCAGCTGCATGCCACAGATGAAGGCCAAGGTGCACCTGCCGCTGCAACACCCCATGATCTCCTCCTCCTATACAGGCGTCCAGAAACTCTAGATAATTCCCAAAGTCTCTCCTTCACCTCCACCCACCCCTCCAGCGAGGGGCTGTCTGGATGTCTGAAAGCCCCCGGGTGGAGGCACTGCTTGGGGGCCTCGGAGAGTGAAGCGGAGCCCCTGTGCTCTCTGGATGTTCACAGCAGTCAGGGCTGACTACTTCATCCAGATGAAAAGCTGACGAGAGGTCTCCTCTTTTTAAAACGCAGGTCAGGGATACAGTGTGGAAAGAGACCCTTGAGGACAGTTTAGCACAATTCAAGACAACAAGTTCATATTTATCTGGAGTAAGAGGCAAGCAACGAACATCTTTAGCAGGGCAGGTGGAGAAAAATCAAACAGGTCTCCTATTGTAAACTCAATAAAAACTCCACTGCATTGACGAGAAAGCGGTCCAGCTGTGTCCAGTCAGCTCCTCCGGACTTCACCTAGTTGGACCGGTAATCCGTTCAGGGCTCATCTCATCGTTATCCCTGCTGAACTGGCACAATCCTGGACAGCACCAGACAGATGGTGGAAACTGGCTGGATATATTCCCACAGACCTCTCAGATCTTTCGCTCAATAATCCGATTAAAAAGCCCCGATTGCCTGCTTTGGTAAGGGTAATATGTTTCCAGGTGGCGGAAACAAGTGAGAGTGGTTCTGGCATCTATCTATCTTTTTTTTTTTTTTTAATCCTCCCCAACGCACAGACGGGCTCCTCTCCTCTTCTTATCTCAGGGGACGGGCACGAAGCGGCAACATCCTCTCCAAAACACCCCTGTCTTCTTCCCCACACGAGTTTTTTCCCCACTAAATGTCCTGACTCTCTCCAGACAGGCAGTGGAGAGAGGAAGCGTTGATCGGGGTCTCCTGATATATGTCAGCCTCCTCGAAAATGATTTCTGTGGCTCTTCTGTCTAATGAGTCCCCTTCCTTAGGATCATCTCCCCTTCAGGTCTACAACCAGTTTTTTTTCCCTCTCTCTCTCTTGGTGAAATCCGTCATCCGATTATCCCCAGATTTCTTCTGTCTGATTTTAAAAATATTAATAACAATAACAAACCCAAAAGCAACAACAACAACAACAACAGAAAACCCACACTGGTGTCCAAATTTCGCGCAGATTTTCGCGTTGTTAAATTCCAGGTCGAAAGTAAGTGTCCAGACGAGACGCGCCAAAAAAAAAAAAAAAAAAAAAAAAAAAAAAAAGAAGAAGAAGAAGAAGAAGCGTATCCGAGCCAAAATGACGTCCGGGTCCGGTTTCTTGTCTCAGGATTTGCCTTGAAGAACTGGGGAGGGGGAGACAATGGGAACCGGGATGGACCAACGGACCGAGAGAGACAGCCGCGAGGAGCGTCTCCCGCCTGCCATCTGTCAAGTCAAACAGCACTCCTCCATGCTGCTGTTCTGGTGCGGATTTCCAAAATAAAGGTTCGGAATGTGACAGCGTTATTATTATTATTATTATTATTATTATTATTATTATTATTATTATTATTATTATTATTATTATTATTATTATTATTATCAGACAGCAGTAACTTGTCCTTTCGTTGCTTTGACGTGGTTAAATTATTTTTATTATTATTTTTTTTTTTACAGCGGGTTGTCTTTTATAGTGGTGTTTGGTGTGTTTTTGTCGGAAGTAGGAAATTTCAACCTCCACCTTGGAAGAAAGCTAAAGCTACTCCGAGTTTTAGTCAATAAATTGCAGCACGAGTTGCTTTGAAATACACATATTTAAATAATATGCATTAAACAAATTGAAATGAGCAGAGTTGATTAACTAATTAATTCATCAAAGAGCATAGTCATAAAAGTGCAAAAACAAAACACCTTAGTACCCAGACCAGGCTTTTTTCACGTTAAGGTCAAAAGGTGTTTAACTGGCTGTCCTCGCGCACCATGAGCGCACAGCCGATTAAGTGGAGCTTTTACTTTGAAGGGCAGTCTGAAGAGGTTCTCCCCTGTTGTCGCTGCCGCTGGCTGACTTGCTGAGGCTGATGCTCGGCTCTGCGGGGGAGCAGTGGGCTTCTTTTACTCTCCAAAAACGCAAACATTGACAGGGCAAAGATGCGATTTTCGCTCGGTTTGCAGCTGCTGCTGCTGAGCACGGCCCTCTGGACCTTGAAGATGAACTGGTGAATCAAGCGTGTCACCTCCCTGATTCACTGGAGACTCCTCTTTGGACTGGAAAGACTGCGTACCCATCCCCTTTTTCACATTCAACCCATGACAACATCAAAACCCTCAAGACTTCACTATTAAAGCTATAAAGAACAGTTGTTTTGTCTTGTCAAAAAATTGCCCAGGATTGCCTCTAAATTAGAAATTGCCTTGGCTGAGGGTTTTAGAGTGTCTCGTGTGACACCTAATTTCTTTCTGCAGCGGGAACTCCAGTTATGGATCGAGCCCAGATTCATATATAAAATCGACCACTTTGTTTCCAATTTAAAAGCAGAGGAGCCAGTGGAAGTCTGCGCGCTCCAGGGGTCAGTTGTGCCACGCCTATAATATGGGCCAGTGGCTTAAACAGACACTAAGGTGGAGAGGGTATCAGTGCTTTAGCTACACAACATAATGGCCTGCTTTCCCCTCACCATCAATCTCTGTCACAGTGTGTTCCTCCCACGCATGCACACACACATGCACACACGCACACACGCGGAAAAAACAACTCTCAGGTATAAGGGATGCGTGCGCAAACAAATGCACATTCACGCGCAGCACACTCCGGAGCCCCACGCCGTGCGACAGGAGTTTAATTATGCCTCTAATCTTGAGTGACAGTTGCATGTATAATGACTGATTCCCTGGGGCCATGTGTCGAGGCATCCACCCATTCATCCTTCAGTCTCTTCTTCTATTTATCGTCTTACTTAGTCATCAATCCATCAAATCCACCGCCACGTTTCCCTCTAAACTTCGTTTTTATATATATATATATACATTGTCAGCTATTCCCTGCTCCTTTCTGTCTCGCCGTCTTCCTCTCTGTTGCTCAGCAGTTTCACTTGTTCAATTTTTAATCCCTGCCACACATCATCATCTACTCTTTATTAAGGTCACTGACCAGGCTAATTGGGGTTGTGCCCAACCAAGATAATGCCAGGACATGAAGTAGGTGCTCTGAAGATAATAATTACTGGTGGATTTTAGAGTAAACATGAATTTTAAATGGAAGTAATCATATTTAAGTTTTTTTTTAATCTAACAATTTTAATAATTATTTATCAGATACATTTATATCTTAAGAAATGTAGAGTAAAAGGGGTTGGGGAGGGGGCTTTAGGTCAGGGTGATGTTGTCATTCGATATATATTTTTTGGCAGCATCACTCACCCCCACGTATTTTGGGTTATTGTATCAACAATCGGCTCTGTCAAGGTCTTACTAGACCCAAACTATTTCCTGGAAAAATGAAACAAACCAAGAGCCAGCAAGCTCAAGCCAACTTTAATTGTGACTTACCTATATAATGACCTCATATAAGGAATGCTCAGCATGTTGAGCATGGCAGTGGTAGTGTCATGGTAGGGGGTCTGTTTTGCTTTGTGTATTCATGGCAAACTGCTGAGAGTCAAACATTCGAGGCTGTGTGCACAATTTTAGTTCTATGTGGATTAAAGAAACTAATACATCCAATTCTGGTTTTAAAAATCAGTCAGGGCTATTTGTTTTATAATCATCCATGTGAAAAAGGAACAGACCAAACGAATAATTAATGCAGAATCTTTTTATTATGATTAAAGTTTGGAAATGCTTCAATCTATTACGACTTGTGTTTCATCCAAACAGCAATAATGTTTGTTTATTTGTTCTGTCTATGTTAATTATTTTGTTTGTTACATTTTCAGAATTAACAGAACAAACTAACATTGACATATACACACAACTTTTTATTAGACTTTTTATTTTAAGGAAAATAAAAAATCAATTTAACAGCTAGAAAAGGAACATTTAGTCATAGGATCCAATACAGATTTTGTGCAATGTAAAATGAAAAAGCAAAAAAAAAAAAAAAAAAAAAAAATGCACATATGCTCATGCATATATTATAGACTTTTGCACAACTATTTTTGACACAATGGGCAAACACTGAATGCGTCACACACAAGGCCAAGAAGAATTTAACACAGAAAGAAGGCAAGTAGACTTTAGATGTGTCCATGTTAGACTCTACACATTTGGCCAATAATCGCTGCATAAGATCTAAATTGTCTTGTCATTTTCAGATTACTGTCTGCGGTGTTGTCAACATATCTTCCATTCTTGTCATCAGCAAGTCCACACTGGAGTTAGACGGCAATAAAATGTAATAGAAAGAGCCGGAGAGAAACAGCAAAATGAAAACACAGGGAGAGGTAGAAAACAGCATCCTAGAGATACCTGGATAGTATGTGTTCATAACTTTATCTCTCTGAGCCAGATGTCAAAGGATTGCTGCTCCTGTCAGCCTCTCAGCCCACGCGTACACACTCAAGAAAAACACAGACCCTCTTCTATTCCCTCACATTTGCTTGTCTAAAAATAATCTGAGTGCAGGTCCTTTAAAATATGTCAAAGTGTGTCCTTTTCAGTGACTAGGCAGCTGAAAACTTATTACTTTTGTTCTTTCATGATGAAATGAATAAAATTAAAATAAACGGTGGTGAATACAATAGGCATAGGGTAGATGAAACCAGAGAAGAGAGAGTAAGAAATAAAGAGAAAACAAAAAGTTACAAAACGAAGAAAGTAGAGGGGGTGAAGCTCAAGAGGGTCACAAGCAGGGAATTGCTCGAGAAGAAAAGCATGTTTTATTTTCATTTAACACCAGATTAAAAACACAGACAGCGTTAAAAAGATAAAAATATTGGACAGAGAATGTACAGTTGAAATTCAGTTCAATGCACCTGAGTTTACTTGCATACCGGCATCTCACAAGAAACAAACATTTCTGCACCATTTGGATGCACAAATAGTCAAAACTGTGAATACATAAACTCACTGTGTCATCAAGTTAGATAAGTAGCAGAGAAACTACACATGTTTGGGTCGTCAGTGATATATTGGATATTACTGACTGACTTTAGACCTCTGATAAGAAATATTGGATCTTATCTGAACTAAATATACTCCTCAAAAAATAGAGGGAACGCTCACACAACACAATATAACTCCAAGTAAATCAAACTTCTGTGAAATTAAACTGTCCACTTAGAAAGCAACACTGATTCACAATCAATATCACCTGCTGTTGTGCAAATGGAATAGACAACAGGTGGAAATTATTTTCATATTTATTTCATTCATTCAGATCTAGGATGTGTTATTTGAGTGTTCCCTTTATTTTTTTGAGCAGTGTAGTTTTCTGCCACAAACTGGGATTAGGTCGTGCATTTTTAATTAAGCTCAGGTCGGGTCAATTCCAGAATCTTAAGAATTAGTTCATTTTATTCACTCCCAAACCAATATTAATGTTTTAGTCAAATATCGTACAGATTGGCATAAATTCTATGGTCACATTGCACCTAATGTTACTTAAATTATGGATGAAGTAACCAGTTCCTCTGAGAATAGAAGACAGTTAGAGCTGTCAGTAGAAACAGTAATTATTATACAAAAAAATATTTTAAAAAATCTCCACTCAATGTCAATCAAAAATATTCAACTACAGTATTTAGGTTTGTTCCAACAAAGAGATGGAAGATCGCATCTATCCAAGGATTATAATCTTATCAACAAGCAGGAATAAACTGAACAGTACAGAGCAAAAACAATTAATCCAACTGCGATAACTCTGAAAAAGATTGAGTAAAAGCAAAAGCAGAAATTGTTGGCAAAAGCTTTTTTTTTATTTTCTTGTACACTTGGGAAAATCAGAATGCAGAAATCCCTCAAGGTGGGAGGGGCTTAATGCTCTGCTGTTGTTATTATGGAGTCAAACTCCATAATACATTTCTGCTCTAATATTTAGGACGGGCTCAGAGATGTCCAGACTCAGCAACACGTTAAAAGATAGCCTCTAATCTCTTGATGTGCTTGTCTAGCAAGAAAACAGCTTTCGCCTTACTCAGCATCATTCGCTTTGTTCAGAAACACTCCCAGTCCTCGAGATGGTGGTGAATTTGTTCTTGACAGTGGCTTGGCACTGGCTGCACCTACACATGCATATTGTAGAAACATGGAGAGACAGTTTATAGGTACAATTTACCAAACGTTTCTGCATTTCAATTGGGAGAAAACAGAGAAACCAAACACTGCCAGCTAGATAATACTCCAGGTCTCTGATGATCTGAGGGATCTGCATGGTTCCTACCTGACCAGCAATTCTGAAATGCACTTAGAGGGTAACAGCTGTGGAGAACAGTCAGTGGTTACTGGATGAAAAGGTTTT